TGAAAGTATTAATAATCCTATCAAATTAGTGTGGTATTCACTATCCAATTGGATTAGTAAGATAAATTATCCCCTTATCCATTGTTTGATTTGCATTGGATAAGAAAACATATTAATGGGGTGTCTCTATTTACACACCATATTTGGTCTCAAGATACACCACTACTCAGTTCACACCTTTAATAATTTAAAAAAACATAATTTTTCTCAACACACACCACAACGTTCCATTTTCACTATCCAATTGGATTAGTAAGATAAATTATCCTCTTATCCATTGTTTGATTTGTATTGGATAAGAAAACATATTAATGGGGTGTCTCTATTTACACACCATATTTGGTCTCAAGATACACCACTACTCAGTTCACACCTTTAATAATTTTAAAAAACATAATTTTTCTCAACACACACCACAACGTTCCATTTTTACCCTTAGTCCCACACCACTTAGTACACACCTCAAAAAAAAAAAAAAAAAAAAAAACCCCAACTGTTGGACACTTACCATTGGTGACAGCTGCCATCACCAGCAACCACCATCAACGCCAACCATGGCCACCGCCGTCAACCCTTCCTTCCGTCTTCACAACTGTTGCTGCCCACTTTCCAGTCTCATAAGTCGCTTCCATTCCCAAAGATCCACCACCTCGCAGATCGTCGCCACCATCTCCAATCCCTCCATCCTCCCTCACGTTTGCCGCTACATCCTTCTCAGCCCTGTCGTTGCCTCCTTTCGTAGATCACCTTTACCGCTGTCAACCCCTCTTCTCACTCGCACTTTGCCACTGTCTCCTTCCTAGCCTAGTCGCACCTCCCTTCCGTCACGAACACCGCAACCTACCACCTTGCAGATTGTAAGAATACAGATCGCGAGAGAGAGATCACCGGCGAGGGTTTGTGGTCATTTTAGGTAAAGTCATTATTGTAATAAAAAATAATTAATTAATGGTGTGCCTTGAGACAAAATGTGGTGTGTAAATAGAGGATTACAATTTTTTTTTTCAATCTTACCCTCCATCAATGTTTCTTCACAATCTTTACTTGATCAAAATTTCTTCATAAACGTGGTTTTGAAAAAAATTATAAATAAAAGCAAAATAAAAATACAAAATAAAAAAAGCCATGTTTGGTTTGTTTTTTTATTTTTATTATTTTTTAAATATAAACAAATTTGATAAAATAAATATCAAAAAATATTTTTAAATTTTAAAAAATCATTTTTAGCCTTCTAAAATATAAAATTATATAAAAATAATAAGTGTTTTAATTTTTAGTCAAGGATAAAAGAGTCTTTTATTTTATTTTCCAGCTTAGGATATATAATCTCACCCCTACCTCATTACTAATAATCCTACAAATTTGTTGGATTAATTATCCATTGGATTAATAATTCTGAAATAAAATTTCAAAATAAATACAGGATTATTGGCCCCACGGATTAATAATCTCAATCTCATGCTCTAATCCTGTCAATCAAACATGTCCTTAAAGTAAAATCATTCAAAATCTTAAAGTAACCTAAAAGTAATTCTTCATTAACTTTTACATTCATCCAAAATGTAATAATAAAATAACAATAAATTGTTATCAAACTTCCTCCAATTCAAACCCATTAAATAAAATAAAAACATTTGCAAACTCGCAGACTCCATCATGAATCACATCCAACTTTCAAAAATTTCAATTCCATGTATATGTTTGATGAACCCTGCACAAAAACAAACTGAATAATATTAATCTTCAATCTTCATAATTCATTTGACAAAAAAATCCTAAAAAAATGAACTAATGAAAAGATAAACAAATGTGTATATATTAATTGCATCTCAATATAATAAGAAAATGTGTTAAGCGATTATGGTTTGGTTTGTTGGGCAAAAATATCTAGCATATGATAAATGAAATCAACGGTCCAAGTTAAAAAAAAAATAAAGAGTCTAAATGCGGGCGGATTCTTACGGGTGCGGGTAAAACCTGCAATAATACCATATTCCAAACCATATCTATCCGTATTGTGTTTGCGAAACCACCCATTTATATGCGGATCGGTTCGAGTTGGCAGGTTGTGCGGTTCAGATAACCTTATACCCTGCCCTACTCACAGTTCGTTCGGAAAGTGGGTGAGAAAGAAATTACTACCTTTTCCAAATTGTTGTTCCTCACAAAATATTTTCGTATTAAAACTTAAAATTTTAAAAAATAAAATAAAATAATTAGTGAAACATCCCTCTCCAACTTTGTGTAATAAGATAGAGCGGTTCAAAAAAAAAATTTATTAGCTAAGCTCCCTTAATAATTTCACAGAAAAAATTCAACTCAGAAAAAATTTCACCCGACTCAAAGAAATTTCAAAATTTCTTTGGTATGATCTCAGGGAAACTTCTCTATAAAAATTAAAATTTCTCAAAGTTGTGACAAAATTTCTCTGAGTCGAGCAAAATTTCTCTAAATCAAATTTTTTCTGTAGAAATGTTGAGGGACCTTAACTACTATGAAATATTATGTCTTTTATTTTATAAAATCTTAATATCAGGAATCTTAAAAAAAATTCTCCAAAAAAAAAAACACACAAATTAAAAATAAATTAGTAAATTAGTATTTAATTTTAATACAAGAATATATTATTTTTAAGCTCTAGACTTTTGTACCAAACAAATTATTTGGAACAGACAAAAGTGTAATATTATAATTTATTACCTAAAATAAGAAATGAAATGATATGAATAAAATTTTATTTGGTGAAATGATGGAATGTTAGAATAACAAATTAATTTCATGAAAAAAAAAATTAAAAAATTACCAATTTTTTTTTAAAGACCCATTGTAACCAAATAAAATTTTAAATTATAATTTTATCAATTCAAACTTTAATCTTTTGATTTATTTTTAACCTAGACCATCTATTTATTTTTGTTAAATAAAACAAATAGAAAATATATATATATACATATAGGAGCACTTACCAGTAAGTCTCATACACAAAATTTAAAATTCATCTAGTTCTAAAACAAAATACTTGCACCAATTAATCTTATATATTTTTAATTGTTACAAAAATATCATTTTTTTATATAACTTTAAAAACGCTACTATATCCCACCACCGCTGTACTTCGGTCAAACGGTCACCGGAGACTTGCTAAAATATTCAACATCACTGGAATGTTCGGCGGGGTATCGTCGAAAGTTCGCCAAAATGTTTTGAACGTCACTGAAAGTTGCCAGAATGTCCAAAATGTTCGTTGAACGTCAAGAATATCATCAGAGACTCATTGGAATATCCAGAATATTGTCGGGGGAAAAAAATAGAGAAATTATAGTGAAAACATAGCAAAATATGCTAAATATTAATAGTCTGAAAGGAAAATAAAAATAAAAATAACAACAAACAACAATGGGAAAAAGAATATATTATTTTTTAATTTTTGTAAGGTTTAAGCAAATAATCTTCAATATTGATTAAATTGAAAAGTAAGCTTTGAAATTGTAAAATGTTACAATTTCAAAACATTATTCTATTAAGCATTTATCCTTATTAATCAAACTAAAAATTATGTTATGAAACTGTAAAATTTTACAGTTTTAAATAATGTTATGAAACTATAAAATTTTATAGTTTTAAAGTATGATTCATTTCAGTACCAAAAAAATTGAAACTATAAAATTTTACAATTTTTACCGCCTGTAACTAAAACTTAAAAACAACTTGTTTATAACTTGAAAATTTTCTCTATTAAAACAGGAAAATAGAAGTGTAATAGAGAAAATGTAGAAAAATTAAAAAATCGAAGGAGAGAAATAGATATAGAAAGAATATTGTACTCTGGCAACTATTTTTGGTTTAATCCTAGTCAGATCTCATGTAGATTTACTTAGATCTGAGTAAATCTATTCATCTTCTTTGTTGAAAACTCGTCTCTTTCGCCGTCGGTAAGGATGAAGTAAGGAGTCGATAGTCTATGGTTGTCGGTGAACCCCAAATAATGACCGGTCACTGGTGACTATATATTAGAAAGAAAAAGAGAAGAAGTAAGGCATGGTCGCCGGTCACCAAAAATCAAAAAGAGAAAGAGGTAAAGAAAAATAAATACAGAGAAGAATGAAGAAGAAAAATACGTAGTGGACTTTTGAGAGTATTCAGAAGATTATGGGACTAAATAGACTTATCATCTTTTAATTAGGACTTTCAAATAATTTGCCCATATGTTATAAACACACGTGGCCCAACATATATAACAGAGGATATATATACTTTGATTGAACCATGAAAATTTATGTATAAACTATCAATAGGTCTAATAATTCGATTTAATTCTTATCAAATCCTACTAAAAATAAGTCCTAATACAATCGCCTTTAAAAATAATTTTTTGTGGTGATTTTTTACACGTCACTAAAAATTGACAAATAGTGATTTTTTTGTCACAGATTTTATAAATTATCACTAAAACTTATAATTAGTAACATTTTTTTGTGATGAATTTTTCATATTGTCACTAAAAGTTGAAAATTAGTGACTTTTTGTGACGATTTTTTAAAACTAACTCTGAAACTTATAATTATCGTTGAAAATTAACAATTAGTAACATTTTTTAATAATATACAATGAAAAATACCATTACTTATCATAGAATCTATTGGACAATAAATCCACTTTAAAAGACCTACACGCAAATCCTTCAATATTTAATAGTCTAACCTAATCACTCCAAAATTTGAATCACGATTCCATCTTACATAAAGGGTTGGCCCTGTTAGCCCTCCCTAATTAACATCTATCGTTAAGCATGCATTGAAAAGTTGTACAGATGCAATAGACTATGCTCATATCAATTAACACATGAATAGAAACTGATAATGCTCTTTCCTATCAATGTTTTTCGAGTTGTTTCCGTGACTCAAACTTCAGCTTCTAAAAATGCTAATAGGCCATTAGGCCAAGTCGACCTTTCAATTTTTATAAGAGAGGAAACGACGACACTGATAAAGAAATATATGACTTTTATAAGAACATATTTTCTTGAATTTAAGATGAGAAATAATTTTATGTAGAACTGGTGTACATATAAGCAGCAGAAAACTTCTTTACCAAAGAATTATGGAACAACAACAACAACAACAGAAACAAATGAAATAAAGTGCAGAATTGAAACAAGATTACAATAATGCCACTAGCATGAACTGTCCATGAAATCCACCAACAACTCCTGAACCATAACTCTATCCGGCATCTTCCCAGCAGCACCATATATTGGAGCAAGCCCTCCGCTTATGGGACCCGGGTTTGCTTTTACCTGAAAAAATAAAAATAAATCAAACTCATAAAAATTGAGTGGTGGAGCACAATCCCATATGCAGAATTGGTAAAACAATCTGTGCTAATGACGGCTGTGTTTGTTTGGGGATAAGCCCATGGGATTGGATGTATTCTAGTCAATCCACAATCCCGTGTTTGGATACAAAAGTGGGCCTCCGGATTGACAGTCCCCCTCTCCCGAACTATATATCTCATTCCAAACTAATAAATGATAGGTTAGGATTCTACCAACCCCCTCTCCTAATCCAACAATTCCAGTTGTGGGATAGGATATGTAATCCTAAGGGATTGCTAATCTCAAGACTCATCATATAATCCAGTCCAACGAAACAAACATTACCAACCGGTATCACTAATCTGTTACTAATTATTATCACCTCAATCATTCCTCCACACCTTAATTGACTTAAATTGAACATCAGGGATGATTCATCATTTTTATTTATACTAATTACTAGAAAGCAACTTACAGTTTCCACGGAATTCCTCAGATCCTTCAGGAAGTCTTCAACCATTGGAACATGTTGAAGGGTCACACAGATATGAATGCTGATAAACACAACAAAAATGCCTTTCAGAACAAAATCACAGTGAAATCTGTCTGAAAGATCGAATCTAATTCTCTTACGTATGAAAACAACTACATAGCATATAAACCGTTCTAACCACCAGTGTGGTAGATGACCCACCAATTGGGATCATGCAATCAAGTTTAAAAGTGAGAGAGGCCTGATCAGTTCAATGCCTCATATCAGTGAGTCAGCTACCCCAACTGCCAATTACAGTTGACTTTGTAATTACCATTCTCTGAGTCTCATATTTGTGGAGAAAACTTACCTGTTGGGTCTCTGTAATGCATTCAAATGCCAGCCTTTAGATGACATAATGTCATTGACTTCAAATACATCTACAACATTAGATCCAAATGCCACAATTGTCATGTCTGGCCTTCCAACAATATGTAACTCAGGAATCTCCTTTATCCTGCAAAACAAGTAAAAGTGATTTCCAGTAGTATAAGACTTGAAACACCATTGAGAAGTTTTAATGACAATTGATACCCTTTCTGTATTCTCTTTGATGCTTCCATGATCTCTTTTGTATTCTCCAAGTAACCTATAAAATGTAATGGGACACAAAAAAATAAATTAATAAAAATCGGACAAACCACGAAACAAACACTTGCCATGATATGTTGTTTAGCAATCATGGAAACCAAAAACAGTCCTAGCATGGAAGACCAGAAAAAAAGGTTTTTCTTATATATATATATATATATGTATGTATATAACGAAAAGAAAGAAATCGTAGCAATGAAATCAGGCAAGTGATTTTGGGAATTTGTCACCTTCAAATCCTAAAGACATCATTGCTGCCCAAGCCCCGGCAATCAAACTCCCTGGCCTGCTTCCAGCGATGGTTGGAGACACATAAAGCCCACCAGACCACTCAGTAACTGCAGTATAGATACAAGCAGAGAAGTTTGATATAGACATGAGACATGTTTTAACAACCGAATATAACCTAATTCTTTCAATGACAACAACAATGATATAAGAAATGACAAATCATGGCAGATCATTATAACAAAAGTCACAGGCAAGCATCATAACTGTGTTATGCTATGCTCTTCTCTGCATTGAGATGTCATTTCCTTACGGTCATAAAAATCAAACACATGCTCAAAGTGGCGTAGTTTCCATAATTAAAACCACAAAGAAGAAGAAATAATTAACTCAAATTTTTTTTTGAAAGCAAGTAACTTACCAGCAACAAATTGATGCTGTTTGCCAACAACCGATAAGTTAACAGGCATAGAATTGATTCCCACACCGCCAACAATATGCCAAAACAAGAAAAGATATATGAGAAAAGGTAAATAACAAAGCAGGAACTAACAGCTTCTACTACATAATCAGTGTGTGATATTTACCAGTCAAGAAAAAAGTGCATACTGTAGACCTATAATAAGATAGCAATCACCTGTTCTATTAAACATTACTTAATTTCCATGTATTAAAGAGATTTATGGTTTTAAGACACTATCGTTGAACAGTGGCATTTGCATTGAGGAATTTCTTGTCATTAGATGAACCCTGACCAGTATGTAGATTATATGGCCAAAACAATAACATGATCAGGCTATTCCAACTAACTGAAATGTAAATGTTCTCTAGAAAATTATTATTAATTTCATTGTCTAAAGTAACAAAGTTTGACCAAATGGCATACTAATCATGGGATACACCAAATTTATTTGTATTTTGATTCCAAAAATGAGACAAGTTAAGAGAGAGAGAGAGAGAGAGAGAGAGAGAGAGAGAGATGGTTCCTTGTCTTTCTAGAAAAAGATACATGATTTCAGGTGCCCATATTACTTACCTTTCGAATGTCATGATTCCTGTATAGGACCACACTTGTTCCTTTGGGAGCCAACCCATACTTGTGCACATCCACTGATATTGAGGTAACTCCTTTGACAGAAAAATCAAAAGGTGGAATAGGGTACCTGAAAAGAAAAGGTTAATTATTTAACAGCTAAAAGTAACATAGTTCATAAGAAACACAGTAATTTCGGGGCAAGTATTGCCCAAAGTTTTTAAAGGCAATGTGTAACGTAAGACGTTTTACCTCTCATGAGGCGAGGCATAAGCCTTAAGGCGTTGAGGCTTAAGCATTTCAAATTTCAAATTTTTATATTTAGTAATAGTTTAAATAATTTAAAACAATAAATAAATTCATCAAAATTAAATATAAAGGTTTAAATACTTTTTTCCACTGCAGAGAAGGAAGCTTTGTTTTATTGAAAGTGAAATTGATATTTTCAACTTTAGTAATTGAGCTTCTTATTAAGCATTAACTTTGTGTTTTTTTCTTTCTTGGTCATTTACTTAATTTTTCCTATAGAATGTAGTTGCAAAATGAGTTTTATTTTATTTTTTATTTTTTATTTTTTATTTTTTTAATTTTTTTTTATGTTTAAACCATCTACTAGACTAAGTTCAACAAGAGTCTAAGGTACACCCTTCATATGCTTACTCCTCACATGCTTATGCATGCGTAAAAGGTGTACAAGATGCACCTAGGGCACATGTCTCAAGACTGTGTGCGCAAGCCTTTGGGGAGTAAAGCCTAAAAATCAAAGTCTTGAGGCAACTTGCCTTACTCTCGCCTCAAGACGCGCATCGAGGCAAGCCTTAGTAAAGCCTTTTAAAACTTTGGTATTGCCAACAGTTCTTAGGTATCAAAAGCAGTTTTTACTGAAAACTTGTGCCTAAGTCATAATGTCAAATCTGAAAACAGCAATTAGTTCTACCTATGTAGGAGATGCTAAGAGGCTCTTGTGAATTTTTTATAGAATTTTACAAGAATTGCCCAATAACCAACAAGATGGGCAACATGTTGGCTAAAACTACTATCCTTAGATGGATATCATTGACTATAACTAACAATGGCAAGATGGGCTATCTAGTACTCATATTCATCGGCTCATCTTAATTGTGGATAATAAAGAAGCAGCATTCCTCTTTAAAAAATTACTTCAGAAAAGCAAGTTCATAAGAAAAATGTTAATCTTTTTACTGATATGCTGCCCACTTATAATTAGCATAAAACTTTTCAATTCATCATACTTCAGCTTTAACTTATCAGACAAAAAAATTGATTCAACTTCAGGATTATAAACATGTAAAGTGCTTTTTCTGCAACTCCCATAAATGTCTACCACTTCACTCTAACTTGATGACTCCACAAGTAATTCCAACTCTCATTCACATTTAACAACAAAAAAACACAAACTCCCCAGACAGAGCAAATAGATAAAATAGAATATCTATAGTGATGCATAATTGCAAAAAAACTTAGAAGAGATTGAGGTGGGAATACAACAGAACAGTAGCACAAATCTCGTAGAGTAATATTAAGAGAAGCTGCAAAACAATAAGCAAAAATGCCTTGAAATAAAAAATAGCCACAATATAGTTTCATCACAAAGCAACACCTTATCAGTCAATGAAAAAATCAAACCAGACATACCCAAGTTTACGAGCGAAAGGCAATACAAAACCTCCAAGACAAAGGTCAACATGGAAACAAACCCCAGAACCAAAAGCTAGTTCACCAAGCTCCTACAAATTTCAAAGTGATAAGCAAGAACCAATGAGAATTACAGATCTTCATATAACCAAAATTCAGTGTCACATACCTCAACAGGGTCAATGATCCCATGTGGGAACCCAGGTGCCGATCCAACAATCTGAAATTCATTTGAATTCAAATACACCATCACAGAATCTAGGAGAAAAATGAAAGGCAAATGGAGTAAAATCAGCGAGCCTGGTCTAAAATGCATACCAATATGGTATTTCTGTTTATACATCGTTTAATAGCTCTGACATCTGCCAGAAATTCATTGTTCACGGGTACACGCCGCAACTTGATTTTGAAATATTGTGCTGCTTTATCATATGCTGAGTGTGCAGATTCAGGTATTATCCTATGCTTAGAAAGAAAATCATTTATACAATTGAATATTAGATCATAAATAAATTAGCGGCAAAACAAAAGGCACCTAACCAAAAATTAACGTACATTTCTGGCATTGTAATTCCTCGTTTAGCTTTCATAAAGTCACGTGATGATTTCACTGCTAACAATATACTCTCAGTTCCTCCAGATGTCATGTTTCCACATATCTGGCCTCCAGAAGCTTTTTCTTTACCTCCTAGTAGCGCAGCTGTCATCGCAACCACTTCTGCTTCATACCGAGCAACACTCTGGAACACATCCGTATGCAGTGGATTGGTATGTGCAAACCTGAAAAGTTATGCAAACTAAAACTAAGGTGATCTGAATAGATAATAATTCTGAACACAAAGGCAGTGTTGGTAACTTGCACGTCCACGTGTAAGGTCAATGAGTCCGATGTTTACCGCACCAGATGAAAGGGCACTGGGCACATTGGCATATCACACATGCCTAAGTCCCAAGACTTTTTTCACATGATCATCCCATTACTTTGGTGATTATATCACAGGAGGCAATTACCGGAGTAGTTGTCCCATCGGATGTATCACCATGGCAAGTCATAGACAAAATTATAGACAGAATTAAGATTCGTATAGGAACATATAATACAGATCATAAATGTGACATCTTACTAACATTGAACATGCCTCATTTATCAAAGAAAAATGCCCTTCAGCCTCGTTTCCTCCAATGTAGCTGCACAAAAATCATAGTCTTGTTAGTACACCGGCTGAAGCATAAGAGCAAACTAGTGTTGATTATTTCTTTGAAAAAGAACACGTACATAGTTTTCTATCTAATAACAGTAAACATACACTGTACCAGAACATTTGCCTTGCCAAGCCACATCTTTTCTTTTCGCATCTTTCATTGTTTCTAGGACTCCCACTCCAAAGCCTGCCCTTGGCAACTCTGTCCTCCAACCATCTCTTTTAGATTTACCAGTAGATTGCAGCTTATCTACTACCTGCATATTCAAGGAACCAAGGCATTCATTAATAGTATGCAATTGCCAAACTCATAACTAGAAAATTTTCAATCTGAGAAGGGAAGGAACTCCCACGAAAAGGCATTAACTAAAGTAGATAAAGCATCTGCAATAATTATTCTTACCAGAAGCATGTTGCAATTGGTAGGAACCAGTTGGAACAAAAGCTTAAGCTATTAGGGATGGTCCAACAATGTATATGAAAATCTCGTACCTTCCCTCACATGAGGTTAGACAAGCTAAGATGCAAACTGAACCAAAGAAGGAACATAAATACACAAGGAACAAAGCGCACACTAATAGACATAAATAATGGGGGACCAATCACATAGTAGGAGACTTGAACTAATACCTCTTGAAACTAAATTTCAGATACTGTGTTTGATAACCAATTGCCCAAAAAGCAAAGCGCATATGGACCAAACTATGTACATCAAGCTCTCATAACCATCAGTTTTCCAATTTCAGGTATGAGGACAGTCTGCAACACCAACCATACTAGACATTGCCACAAAGGGCCTATACTCGAGAGCACAACTACAAAATTTGATCATGGTATATGCTAGAGGAATGAACATTTTAAACATGCATACCTGCGCTCCAATTTGTTTATAAGAAATTTGTTGAAAAAAACAATAAAAATGTCACATTAAAACTCCAGGAAATAATTTAAAAAGTAGTAACAACTCTAATTGAAAAAAAAAATGCTTCAAGAGTATAGCTAAAGAGATGATTTTGTGGGAAGCATTTTCCATACATTTTCCATTGTTTCCCAGCATGGTTGAAAAGTTTCTTACAAGCATCTACATAGTTTTTCCATGATTTTTAGACCATTAATGGAAAGAAGAAAAAAAAAAATTCCAATAATTTCTGCTAAAATTTCTTAAAATTTGTGTGAACATCCTATTGAAAACTAGTCCCTAGGAGCTGCATTTCCAATGTAAAACCAAGTTTTGTAGCAAATATATATAAAGCACCATAAAATAAGTAATCGAAAAAGCCCAAACACCCCCTTCACTTCTCTTGCAATGATCCCAAGAGTGTCAGCCACACAAAAATAATAGAAAACCTTTCTAACGACAACCATGCAGTTCACAGGTAGTCATTATAATTTATAAGAACTCAAAAAGATTTTTTTTAAAAAAAATACGATTCAGTTGCAATCTTATGGGGACAACATAAAGAAGAAACTGGCAAATATAGATCTAAATCCCAAGTATAATGAGCTTGACCTGCCACCTCTATCCGTGGATTCTCCTTCCTAGATGAAGGGCATGAAACTCAACTTGCTATGTTATCAACTGAGTGATAACTCTGTAGGTGAGCTGCTTCAATAACTGTAGTAAGGAGTGACCCCATTTGTTGGCTCCACCAGAGTTTGGCTAATATACAGTGTATGAGACCACTTATTGAATCAACAAATGGAAAAGGCAAAATTGAACATCTTTTGCACCAGATGTATACAGGACAGCTTCCAACTAGCCATTAATTCAGATAAACCAATGAATATGTTCGTTTCCATTCAATTCACCCATCAAAAATCTATAATGTCGGTAGCTCCATAATTGATGGAACAAATCAGATAGCTAAGACTGATCTAGACACTAAACTCTTCGGCCCAGCTAAAATTAGCAAGGTCTGTGAACCAATCGTTGACAAATAGCACACCATCGCTGAAATCAAATCAACCCCAACACATGGCATTTAATGCTTTTCCAGTTGAATAAAATTAATGCTAAATTCTAATACACATTCGCTATTTCCTCGTATTTGATCTCAATTTTTTTTCATTGTCAATAAATTATTACTTCCTCTGATTTTCAAATCAAACAAACATCAAACCCCCAATACAATTTTTAACTGACCTTCTGTTTTGCGGCATCGATGTAATTCCTCACACCAGGTACCAACCTGTTTGTTCAAGATAAAAATCATCAAATCTGCGGACTAGTAACACATATATGAATGAAAAACATGCAAGTGTGGAGAAGAAATTACTTGATGAAGCTCATGAAGAGCCCTAGAAGTGTTGGTTTGAGTCCTCTGTCGCGAACAACATCGAAGAAAGATTGGAGAATCCGAGCAGCGAGGAGAGAGAGGAGAGGAGCGAGAAGGAGAGTGAGAGGTTCGTATTGAGAGAGAAGTGAATTCGCAGAAGCTCTGAATCGATTGAAGGAAGATAGCAGCGAAGACTCCATTATCGTCTCTCGCGTTGGTTCCGATGAAGGAGACGATGGAGATGGACAGTTCAACAAATAAAAAACGACAGAGTAATCGAGAGAGAGAGAGAGAGAGATGTTTTGGGTTGGGTTATGACTTTGCCATCGCGTAGGGTATACGTCTGTGGTTTATTGGTTTTGGCGGGTTCGCTTCCGTTGATTTCCAGTGATATATACATATATTTTTTTTTTTTTTTTTTTTTTTATACTCCTATATATATATACTGGCATCATACCCGTGCTATGCACGGGATAAAATAATATATTATTTATTAAAAATATAATAATTATATTTAATTTTTTTATATTTTATCCTTCGTAAATAAAATTTTATATATAAATTTAAAAATTTTATTTTAAATGTTCCTTTATTATAATTTTTCCAAGTAAAAATATTTTTCCCGACCTAGCCCAAAAATATATACCTAATGAGATAGCAAATACGTCTTTAGAAAATTTAGATACAGAAGATTATGATTTAGAAGAATTTGATTTGGAAAATAAGGAAGATTATTGGAACCTAGAAGATTTTAAACAACCAGCTAATTTAGAATTAATTTTTGCAAAAATAGGAAAAATAAAGAAAAAACCAATATACAGGAGAACTGAAAATGATTTAGATGAGATAATAAGATTAGCTGAAACAACAGAAATTTTAGGAGAACAACCGATGAAATATTGGGAAAGAAATAAAATTTTAGCTAATCTAGATATAAAAAACAAAGATTATAGGATTACCTTAGCACAAATAGATCATACACCAGCAGACATAGAAGAATTTAGAACACAGATTAAGGAATTACTAGATCTAGGAGTAATTAGACCCAGCAATAGCCCGCACAGGAGCGCAGCATTTGTGGTTAGAAATCATGCAGAGATAAAAAGAGGAAAAGCTAAAATGGTGATAAATTATAAAAGATTAAATGATCATACAAAAGATGATAAATATAATATACCAGATAAAGACCAACTCATAAATAGAATACAGACAGCAAAAATATTTAGCAAATTTGATTGTAAGTCAGGATTTTGGCAGATAAAAATGGAAAAGGAAAGCATACCATGGACAACCTTCTGTTGCCCTCAAGGACATTATGAGTGGCTAGTTATGCCCTTTGGATTAAAAAATGCACCTTCCATATTCCAGCGCAAAATGGATAGTATATTTAATAAATATAGTTTTATACTGGTATATATAGATGACATATTAGTGTTCAGTCCAGATAAAAGTAGTCACATAGATCATTTGTATATAACATTAGAGGAATTCATAAATAATGGAATAATAATCAGCAAGAAAAAGATGGTATTAAATAAACCCTACATAGAATTTTTAGGAATGGAGCTAGGAGATGGAAAAATTAGGTTACAACCTCATATAGTCGAGAAAATTTTAGACTATCCAGATAAATTAGAAGATACAAAGCAACTGCAATCCTTTTTAGGAATTTTAAATTATGCACGAATGTATATTCCTAACCTTAGTAAAATAATAGGACCCCTTTATAGTAAGACCACACCCACAGGACAAAAAAATTTCAATCAGCAAGATATAGCTCTAGTTAGAAAAATAAAATACATTTGTAAAAACCTACCAGACCTACAACTTCCCTTAGAATCTGAATACATAGTTGTAGAAACAGACGCAAGTCAATTAGAATGGGGAACAATATTATTAGCCAAACTCAGTAAATATGACAGTAAAAATAAAGAACGCATTTGTAGATATAGTTCTGAAAAATTTAAAGAAAAAGATACAACTATGACCAGCCTAGATTTTGAAATACTAGGAGTAGTATACGCAATAAATAAATTTAGATTATTTTTGCACAAACCTTTTACAATAAGGACAGATTGTGAAGCTATAGTTAGATTTCATAACAAACTAAACGAGCGTAAATTAAATACTAGAAGATGGGCAAAGTTTTTAGATTGTATAGTAGGACAAGGATATAAAGTAGAATTTGAGCATATTAAAGGAAGCGATAATAAATTAACAGACTGGTTAAGTAGAAAAATTTATTTAGAAAAAGAAGATAACCAGTTTAATTTTTGTGCAGATAATAGAAAACAGCAAGACCATGAACTTTGGGGGATTTTCTCTTCCCATTCATGAAGGCAGAACCAAGTTCAGACCCTTAACAGGGATTGAGTTAGACCCAGTTCAACAGTGTCTTTTAGATAACCTTTGGACCAGCCAAAACCACCCAGCTAAGCGCCTTTCCCTCAGCAAGATGAAACTGTCATCCTTTTAGGGAGGACTGGAACCGCTAAAGGCTGAAGCTTGGGTGCTTGAAACAGAAAAACTATTTGAAGTATTTCCGTGCTCAGAAGCAAATAAAGTATTGTTAGCTACCTTTACCCTATAAGAAGAAGCTAGAAGGTGGTGGATGTTGATCCGTGATGCAAATACTGTTATGACCTGGGCTCAGTTCAAGGAGTCCTTCTTTGAAAAGTACTTCCCACAGTGTGTCAGGGATAGGAAAGTGACTGAATTCGAATAGCTGAAGCAGGGCACAATGTCCGTTGCGGAATATGAGACGAAATTCACCGAGCTTGCTAGATATGCACCGCATATGGTGGATACTGAGTACAAAAAGGCCAAAAAATTTGAGGGTGGCCTTAATGTTGCAATACTTGACCGAATAAATGTTCTGAAACTACCGACTTTTGTGGGTGTTCTCGACCGGGCATTAATGGCCGAGTCAAACATTGAAGCACTGAAAACTGAAACACCAACGTCGGAATGGCGTGGTAAGACTAGAATGTATTTCTTCAGGCATTCTATCATTCGATCCCTTTATGAGAAAAGCCAAGTAATGGAAGACCTAAAACCCTATATTTATACCTGAGCCGGAGATAGCAGAAACAACGAGTTAGTCATTATTCAGTAGTTTCTTCAAGATCTCTCCATAGCAAGGGTTGACTGCCCCGGCCTAGCTTACCAATGGACCTATACCTATGAAGATAAAGAGCAACCCTGCTTAGACGAAGAAAAATGCAATAAGAGGTCAGAACATTTTGGTAGATGTCAGTGTAACCTAGATTTCAGCATTTGCCTTTGCCAAATAAATTTAGCTACATTCGAGCCGCTGGAGATAGAAATTAGGGGCGAAACTCGTTATCTAACAGCTCCAAAATTGTTAGATTACAGCTTTGTCTCTAGACTAATTTTCATAGATCCAGATCAGACAGATAACTTTGGACACAAGCTTGCTCATGCAGTACTGTGCGTAATGGAAGAACATCATCCGTATGTGGAAGCCTTGATAGATAGTAAACTACCAGAGTGGAAGGGAATATGGTGCAACTCAGCTAAACACAAAATGTATCTCAGAGGAACCTCTACATTTCCAGGATACCCAGGACTTCTCAATAGGAGACCCTGGCCATGCAGAAGATTTTCACTCAAAGACCAGCTCAACAAATGGAGAAAATTCGCTAGCAACTCTCTCTTAGCCTATAATGGAAATTATGGACATCTAGTTTATGAAGATAGACATCAGAAGATACATTGTAATTTAGCTATCCCAGGATATCCATTCAGCGAAGAGACATTTGTCGATGAAAGTCAGTACCCGAACTACCAGCATGGCGTCTCACATGAATCACCAGTGGTGGGAGAGAATGATCAAGAATGGAACGATGAACCACCCATGGGAGATGGAGATGACTTTTACGACCAACTCTCAGCAGCAGATCTTGACGACCTAGCAGACAGAATGTATGGCTAAAAAAAAAAAAATCCAAAAAGATTTTGCAAATATTTTGTGTTTGTAATTATTTGAGTCTGTCAGTGATAAGGATTTTCCTTCACTCACTACTTTAATAAAGTAGATATTTCTTATCCTGCTTTATTAAAGAAAAGCTGTGAAAATCCTTATACGTGTCCTGTAACAACTTATAGTGTCAAAATTTTGTCAAAAAGGAAAGATTGAATGATATGCGATGGGGCCCAAAGCAGTACTCGATATCATTATCCTAATCTTTTATTGATAAAATTTTATCCTTAATAGTAACTCACGTCCAAATCTATGCATTTATGGCATAGATATTATTGTAAGAATCTAAGAATCTATAGTCAAGTCTAGAGTTAATAGCCTTTTAGACTTTTATTTTGGCCAAAACTTTTTGACGTATTGTTTTTTGGACTGTATGTATCAATTTTGTGTATAAATTGGCATGCTTGCCAATGGAGAAGGCAGAATGAAAAATACCACTTCACTCTGCGTTGTAAATTTTCCAACCCCTCTCAAAAAACCTCAGTGTATTAAGTTTTTCAGAGTTTCATAGTCTGTAATATAATCTTTGTAAGTATATTTCTTATTAATATGAAGTGTGAGTAGTTTCTCTTTTTCCTTAAATATTTCGAAAGGATAACTCTTCTATTCTAAAAATTTCTTTTCTTTTTGGAAAAACTAAGTTTATGGAATGCTTGTTTGCTCATTAATATT